ATGTTTAGGGAAATACTATCTTCATAAAGCAAGCTTTACGCAGGTGGGAGGGAGAAAAGATAGAAATCAGGTTGCTCTATGGGTTGTTCCTAAAGGGAATCCTATGCTAAATAGTAAGTTAACTCTATGTTTGCCTCATAAAGAACCTTAAAAAATAGTGCTCTGGGCTATGCAGTTTGTCTCGCACACTGTAAATATTCCTGGACTTCTAGAATAACTCAGCCCTTGTGGGAGAGGGATTCTAGTCTCAGAATCTTCTACCAGAAGTGGGGCAGTTGGTGCTCACAGGCATGCTAACCCCGGAGGAAAACTGGTTTGAAAGATTGCGTTGGACTCTGTGTCAGTCTTGCTAAGCCGATGGCCAAAAATTTAATGAGTGTCTGCTTTGTGTGATGTGTGTGATAGGAAATGCTGTGATAGGATGGTCTGTGATCTCTTGGATTTGAGGTGCTATCTTGCTTCAAAGAATGAAAGGCGTTAGTAGATGTTGAAGGAGAGTCATCCTGAGAGGGAGAAAAAAAATCTTAGCTTTTTCTTCAGCCACCCCTCTGCCTTGGTAGTATGTGCTTAAGAGGAACCAAGCAAGAAGAAACACATCTCATGCACTATATGATGAACTATACGCAATTGCTTACTAGCTGAGTGTTGGATTTTTTTTTTTTCTTTTTTCCCTCCTCCTTTTATCCTTCTGAAAACAATGGTAAAATCTGGAGTATCTTGTTAGTTTTCTTGGGTTTGTTAGTTTGGGGAAGTAAGGGGACAAAGGACAAGACATCCCTGTAGGAATAAAGAAACAAAACGCCATTTTTTCCCTTGGTAAGATCTTTGCTTCACTCATGCACAGATGGAAGTACAGTTCTTGTGACCTCTGAGACTAGTCATTAGACTTGTAACACAGATAGTAATGCACACTAATAGTACAGGATGGACCCTAGCCTCTCCCTGAAGTTCTGCTTTTAATTATAATGGTGTTCCCAGGGCAACCACTGAATGAAGCCAGTAGTTACGATCACTGTTTTGTTAAGGAAAACTCACTGTTTTCTCTTTCCCATTTCCTTTACCCACTGTGATGTTGCCTAGAGCCTTTTTTTTATTTATTTTTATTTTTTTAAACTCAGCTTAAAAGCCAAAAGGATGTTTTGAAGTCCTTTTCTAGCAAGTATAATAATCATGATGAAATCATGTATGCTTGCCACTTGAGCTACAGAGTGTGTGTGTGTGCATCTGTGATAGTTATTTGACCAGGCAACTTGGCTCACACTGTGAGAGGAGAAGCAAAATAGAGGTTTAGCTTGGCAAACTCCGCTTTTCTTTCAGTGTTGGATTTTCCTGAAAAAGCAATCACTAGCTTGCCAAATCCATATACTAAGAAAAATCTAGAGCAGCGTTTCTTGACCTTTCTATTACTGGGTCTCACCCTGCCTAGTGTCAAGCACAGCTATCACTGACTGTGCAATTTCCCTGAAGCCAGAACAGATTAGGCAAAGCTTGGACTCTGAGTTACACATAAATGGCTTTTTAAGTTACGAATGAAAACAAAGAAACCAAAGGGCTTCATGTGTGGCCGCTCAACAATATAATTCAGACCCTTTGTCCCTTCAGTGAGTATTGTGTCTCATGCAAACTGTGTTGACCACCCTTGTCCTGTCCTTATGCTCAGGTAAAAATCAACCTGTTTTATCAGATTTCAGGGAGTTACCCTTTGAACTCATATCCTCCTCTTCACGTTTTTATAACTAACTGTTTAGATTTATCTGTCCCCCACCTGCATGAATTCTCCCCTGAAAATATATTCCTACCTGGCCAAGACCACAACTCCCTCATAGTAGTCTGTGCTTCCCCTGTCAAGAAACATATACTGCTATGCTCAGTACTCCATCTTCTTATACCTCCTCTGTCATACTTCAGCAGTACAGGGTGAAAAAAAAAATATCCATTTGTTGATTAGTAATTTTCAATTTTCCTTTTAGCCAGCAAAAACATGGATGTTCTGCAATTTCAGAATAATTGTCTTTTCTCTTACTTCTGAGTTTGATTGAGATTTTATTGAACAAATTAAATCTTGAATATAATGACTGCAATTAGTTGCATTTTTCTTTCCTTGGTATGCCTTTGGAATGTTCCAGGCATTCCAAGTTTACCATTTTGACAAATGTTCTTTCTATCCCAGACCTGGATTTGCAGCTTACTCCTAGTGGAGAAGTCACAAAACAGATTGGAGAGGCCCTGCCTGTGTCATGCACAATTTCTTCTAGTAGAAATGCAACTGTGCTTTGGATTAAGGTCAGTAATTTATCTAATTCACACTTCATCTCTGTATTCACCCCTTCATATTACTGCCACTACTTCAATATTTTGAAAAGATGGAAATCATTTTTAATTTGGCTTTTTAAAGAATATTGTTAAAATGAGTTTTATATGTATTGCTAAAATAAGAGATACTGCCTCGAGTTGATGACTAAAAGTTAGCTACTGTAATTATTGCCTCAGTTTTCAAATGCAGAGAAGTAATGATCACTACAATACAAATGCAATTTTACTGAAATGGCCTTACACAAGACCCTTGTAGAATCAGGTGCCATTAAGGAGAAGAGCGCCTTTGGAGGAGGAATTTGGATTTATTAATCATTTTTTCAAAGACATGATTGGTGTAACAAACCTAGTAGGAGGGCAAGGCAGGTTGAGAGATTGGATGTTGGCATGTGTTTGTTTAGTGACTGGTTGAAAAAAGTAGCTCTTGGAGATGGCAGGTTTAAATTACACATACACCGATGGAAACTGAAAATGATGATACCTAAGGTTGTTAAGTAACATATGTACAGATCATAAGCCTTAGTCCTTAAGGAGAGTTGTCATTGTCTTGGCTTGTACCACTAGCGTTTTTGATCAGCCTACTGGCAAAACTCAAAACTAGCAGTGATCTCATCTACGCCCTTGATTTGAAAGTGAAATTGTTCAAGAAGAAGATAAGTGGTTTATGTAAACCTCCAGTAGTTTCCACTTTTCCTGCTATGATGTTGTAGTTAGTAATGGGAGACCGGTTGAAGAATAAGACTCTAATCTACCAAAGCGTGTGAAAAATTCTGTTAATACTAGTCACTTTTGTAATTTAGACGTTAATGTATTCTGAATTGGAGTTCATAAAGATTAATTCTTCACTTCATCAGGACAATACCAGAATGCAAACGAGTCCATCATTTTCAAGTCTGCAATATCAAGATGCTGGAAACTATATTTGCGAAACTACTCTACAGGAGGTTGAAGGGTTAAAGAAAAGAAAGACGCTTAAACTTATTGTGGAAGGTAAGACAGCAAGATACCTATGATTATTAATTGTTCTGCTCAAACAAAGTGCTTAAGTGTAATATTTTTCTTCTAGGAAAACCTCAAATCAAAATGACGAAGAAAACCAACACAAATAAAATGTCTAAAACAATTGTCTGCCATGTGGAAGGTTTTCCCAAACCAGCAGTGCAATGGACAGTTACTGGCAGTGGAAGCATCATAAATAAAGCAAGTATCTTTCTTACTACTTTATTCATTAAAAGATAGGGGGTATGACCTAAAGGTAAGAAAAATTTTCCAGGTAGTGAGATTGAAGAAACTCAGTCAATTTTAGGTATCTAAGAAAAGGAGGGTTAAATGGTATTGCATACTTTGTGGATGGTAGCTACGTGTATGATTTCTGACAATTAAGAGCTATTGAATATAGCAGGCAGAGGTACAAAAGTTCAGTTAGCTACAAGGTTAAGCTGGAAGAAGAAACGTGCATTTTTAAGTCAGGGTATTTAGTCATCTTATCTGGATAATGTGTTGACTTTGCCATTGCACAAAGAATTTACAAATAATAATGGAACTATTGAATTTGTTAGAAAGCTGGTACTTGATGTAGTAGTTAACTGAGTGAAATGTTACAAGTACAAATCAGAAAATATGTGCACTGTAGTTCCTTATGGACTTCGCAGTTTTTATCCTAATTTTTATAGTTCTTTATAGGTTATATATTACGTATAGCTTTCATTACTTCATTAGGCTTTGCTTTAGTCCTAGGGAATTACACATGACTGTGAAAGTTTGTCCATTTACTTGCAGCTTTAGGTAAGGAATTGTGTTATCTATAAAATTAATTGAAAATATATTTTTTCTGGACACTATTAAAGTAAGAATGATGTTCAGTAACTTTAAGAAACAGTTTCATATCCTCATTACAGCACAGATACCACTAAATATAATAGTTTGGCAAAATGATTCTTAGAGCGGAAACAACTCAAGACTTGGAAGCTGGAAAGTAGAAATCTTACTGTGTTTATTCCCCTCATAAAGGCATGAATGAGAAGGAGCGAGGTGGAAAGAAATCAGAAGTCTGGTTTGGAGTTTTTCCTTAAACAATTTTGTCACTTGGCATTTTTTTTAAGTAGTTGAAAGAAACTAAAGCAAATACAGAATGTGGCCAATTTTATCAAAAATGCATCTTTATCAGTGGTCTTACAGTACATGCTATACAAAATGTAGATACAACTGACTATCTTGAGCAAAGTGTGCTCTTGCAAATAGTCATGTTACCATGTAATAAAATCATGAATTATTTTTATTGGTGTTATTTGGAAAATTTAAATATTAGTTGATCGTTATTTCATTCTGAACATTTTCATTGTGTAATACAGGTAATGCATTATTTTTTTCAAGGATAATAATCTTCATTTTTTACCTTTTCAGACAGAGGAGACCAAATACGTTAATGGAAAATTTTCCAGTAAAATTGTAATTGCTCCTGAGGAAAACGTGACTTTAACTTGCACTGCAGAAAATCAGCTAGAAAGAACCGTGACCTCTTTGAACGTCTCTGCTAGTGAGTACCTTCTAAAGATCATTTCCTTAAATTGTAGTTTTACATAAAATACCTGCACTTCACACTCAAATGAAGAGTAATGCATAGTAATGTTGGTACTAAGATAGATATTCAGCCTTTTAAAAGGCAAGCAATTGCACATACAGCCTGGTTTTGTAGTACACTGAATTTATTGGTAGTTTTCTGGATGAAGTCACTTAGCCAAGAAAGTCATGAAGGCTAGCTATATCATGTATGCACGTATTTTATATTATTACAAAACAGTATTATAAAAATGTTACAAAATAATATTATTAACACTATTATTAACAGTACAAAACAATATTATTAACAGTAGTACAAAACAATATACATTTTGTATGCATAAAATGTCATTTATAAAAGACAAAAGTCTTTATTACTACATAATCATCTTTTAGTCCCCAAATTCCAGTTTATCATTACTGGGATGACTTGATTCTGAATGTCAGTTTTCAGTGATGAAATGGGGCGAGAAACTACTATTTGTGAAAAAGAAACATTTAGTTAGAAATATGTAGTCAGAAATATTTCTGTGATTAATATTACAGTTTTTGAGTAAGATTCTTGAACTGGATACATTATAGTTACAAAACAATGACTTTTGCTCAGAGATTAATTATCTCATTGGGCAAATACTGCATTAAGTTTCAGTGTTTCTGTCATTGCTGTAAATAGACAATTAAAGGTGAATTTCAGGTATAACGCATTTTATTATTAATTTTAACATTTCTCATTTCAGTAAGTATCCCAGAGTACGATGAGCCAGAGGATAGAACTGGTATGTATGGCTTTCCATTTCCATAACCCTTGCTATTTATTTTCTCAGTTTAAGACCTACATAGTCTCACTGAACAATTTCCACAGCCCCTTGGACTTGAAGTAGCTTAGTGCCATGATTGACTAAGAATATGACTTCCTTGAAGTTCTAAGTGATTTTTTTTTTACCTTGTTTTTAAAAACAATGCTTACTCTTTTTTTTTTTTTTTTCATTTTGACATTCTGACTCCTTTTCTTGTTTCTGATGGCAATACTTTAGAAATGGCGTAACACTTTTCTTTATCGTAGGTCACCTCATTAACTTTTCTTCTTTGCTTCAGATGACAATAGCGAAAAGGTTAATGACCAGGCAAAGCTAATAGTGGGCATTGTAGTTGGTCTTCTCCTGGTTGCCCTGGTTGCTGGCGTTGTCTACTGGCTCTATGCGAAGAAATCAAAGTAAGAATTTATGAAAAATTTTATATTACATTTTAAAAAAATAATCAGAAATGTATATTTACCTGTTTTCCTTTTGGCAGCATTCCAGTAGTCTGAATAGGGACAAGTTGTTAGTAGGTGCATTTAACAGAGAAAGGAAACTCGATGCCAACTCTTGTTGGCATGCCCAAATGTTTAACAGGACATGTCTCTTGGAGGTGGAACTCCATGACTTTCCTACATAGTCATCTGTAATGAGGCTCTGTCTCCTGACAGCCAAGCCTGAGCTGATTCTTGCATTTAAATATAGTACCTGTTACTTAAGTGAGTACTGGTAAAGCCACACAGAGGTAACATCCCACAATTAAGGGTGGGGTAACTGTTCTGCTTTTTAGAAAGTAGAATAAAGTACAGAGTAAGTCTGAATTATCGCAGGGAGGAAAAAGATCTGTATTCATTTGTTCACATATGCTTTGAGATGTATGAAGTAAAATTGATAAAGATTTGTTGCTGAAAAACTAGAACCCCTCATCAAAATCAGTATGTTTTAGCCATCCTAAGAAAATACAGGATTTGTGAGTGAGGCCTGCTTGGCTTTCAAGTTTCTTTATTATCTCACAGGCTCACTTTGAGATCATTCAGTTTATTTTCTAAAAAGTAACCATGTTTCTCCATCTTTTTAAAGATGGCCATGACTGGATGCCATTTGGCCTTATCACCATATATTTGTCTCTAGGGAGAACAGGATTGCTGTCTTAAGAGTTCCTTACAACTACTTTTTGACAAGGCAGATTAAAGAAGTTATGCATAATAAGTAAAAATCAGCATGGGTATACAATTTTATAATTCTTTTTACGACCTTTCATTAAAATTAGCTCAAATGAGTTCTAGAATATACCAGAGGAATTTTACTATGAACAATTATGTTTCATTGATATGAAAGTGCAACAAGGAATTGTCCATCTGCTTGTATTAGAAAATGCTATTTTTTGAGGTATTTCATAAGGATTTTACTCCAGACATAGCTGAGTGGGTTTTGGAAGTTCTGCAAATAGAGAAATGCTGTAAATAACCCAAGCACAGAACCACATTTGGATATTTAAGGGAGGACAGGGTGGAGAGCTATTTTTTGCAAAGCTTAGGCTTCTGGTTAGATATTAAGAAGTAGTAACAACATTGTGGTGCTCCTCCCACACTTTGCTAGTCTTTAATAGTGTCCAGAATAATTTTCTTTCATCTCTGTTTGCATATGAGAATGTACAATCTGTACAATAAAACTGTGTATTGATTGGGGTCTTTTTTCTTTTTGCCCTGCAACAAGTGGTTTGGACACAAGGAGGGCAGAGAATTACAGTTTACATCATTAGGTAGTGTGGGGAAAGCTAATGAGAAACTTAGGATATAGGATGTCCTTTGGTGAAATAGGCTTATGATTTAAGATAGCTTTTTCATCTTCAAAGATAGAATGTGTTATATTCTAAACAGACAACACTTTTCATTGTGCTCAATTTCTCTTCTATAAGCTTTGAGTAAATATTAGAGCTGGGATTATTTAAAAGGTTTACTGGAAGCAAACTAAAAAAATGCTTTATAGTTAAATAATGGTCTTCATATTTGATACGTTACCAGCCTCTGAAACTATTAATAACTGATGCACTGTCACTGACAATCTCATGTTCTTAGCATATATTTAAGTTGATCTGTTATTATTCTCCCTAACCTCTGAATGCCATGCTTGTAAGAGCAAGCAGAGTGTCAGTATCTATTCTGACAACGTTTTCGGCACAAATTGTAGTCTAGAAATAGGAGTGGCACTTGCAAAGAGCACCTAACAACTTCAGACACAACCTGTGCCTAATCACAACCCTCCGTCTCCATACAGGCCAACAGTTAGTAGTTATTTTTTAACACACCCTTGAACAGTAACTCACCTGATCTCTATCCCCAAAGTGACGCCAAAGGAAAGTCTGAGAAGGCAGCAGCACAGAACTTTCCAAGTCTGCCGAGGCAAGAAAAACATTACTTTTTTCATTATTGGTGTTGTGGTTTGTATAATCTTCTATTGTCTTGTCATCTACACGAAGTAGGAATTATACTTGTAGCCTTGGAATATATTCACAATAAATCACTTCTATAGTTATTCACTGCCTCAGATCCACTTGATGCAAAAGCTGATTATTGCCACATATTCTTTTCACTATGAATATTATCCCATAAATCAGGCACTCATCTATATTCCATATCCTACAACCAGCCTCCTCTCGCATTAAGAGTTAAGGCTACTGATCCCCGCATGCTATGTTTCTCCTTCATCTGAGCAGAAGGCCAAACACTTGTTTTCTATAGCTGTCTCCTTTTTCCAAAAGGGTATTTTAAACTAATTTGCACTGAACAGAGTATAATTAAACACTTTTGCTAAAATTTGAATGATTTTAGGACAGCCATCTTCAGTAAATCCTTCTTATACAAAATTTTCATCTTTCCATATACAGCTGAGAGTACTATACAAATAAAAAGTATAGAAAGAAAATATAGCATGCAAAGCCCTGTATTCCTATTCTCTAGGCATGAAGTGTTGCATGTAGATTGAATATTTTTCCCATTTTTGTTCCTTGGGCTTGGAGATGCACAGATCTCCACTCACATGAGGCTAGACCAAGGTTTAAGTAGTTTAAAATGGGCACGCTCAGAACACAACAAACTATTAAAATTCTTATTAGAACACAGTAATCAGCGTTACTGATACTTTACAGGAAATTAGCACATGAAACCAAACATGGCAGGCCAAATATATAGGAAACTTGCTTATGTTTTCAGTGAGACTAGCATTTGCATTATTTTTCATGAAATTTGCCTTCCACAGAACAGACCAAGTTACAAACATCTCTGGAAGTGTCAGTTAATGTCACAAAACTTCTGTAAATTCATAAACAGAATTCAAACAGTGTTTACTCATTTCTTGATCACTGCAATGGTTTTCTAATTTGTCTTCTTTTTTCCTACTGATAGATATTTGAACGTAATTGTAGGAATTAGAAGGCAAGATAGGGGTAAATGGAAAGAGATAGCAAATATTTCCATGTTTGGTTGTATAATACCCTCAGCTCCTGGAAAATCTCTTGCAGCTTTGCAGTTCAGTGTCTGAACATGCCTTTCAGAAGTATTGCAAACATTAATGAAATTCACAGCTCTTGCTTCAACACTCAGAACTACATCTATGTGTATTCTCTTACCTGTCATTATCACACGTTGATAACAGGACAAAAGGCGCTGCAGATTTTCTTCTGAAATGGAACTGAGGGTGAGGCCTAGACTTGTGAGATAAGAAGAAATGAGGAATTAAATCCCAAGGATAATTTTCGTGTAATCTGTATGCAGCGTATATTTACTCTAAAGCAGGCAAATCAAGGGAGATGGAAAAAAAGTCTTTATGTTAAAAATAATGTTATCAGCAGTATCTAAACAAAATACATGAAAAAATGGCCCCTTAACACACACATAAAAGAAAACTAAAAACCTCACTTTGGTACTACTTACAGAGAGATTTTGATTAGGATTCCCTGAGGATAATTATTTTCCTGAAGAGCAAGCATAGATAAATGTAAAACATGAGTCATAATTTTAACAAGAACTTGGAATGATCTGTTTTACAAATGAATTTAAAAGAAAAAGAAAAAAAAAACCACCACCAAAAAAAAAAAAAAAACATGCTGAGAGATGTAAGCAAGCTCATATTCATACAACCAGCTTCTCACTCTTCAGAACAGTATGGCCAGAGTATACTAAGGTGGGGGCTTTGTAGATCTGTGTATCATGTTGTGCATGAGCTCACCTAGGCAAAGTAGGCTGTCTTGTCCTTTTCGGCAAATCCTCTGCAATATTTGAGTCCATTCAGACTGAGTTGCCCAGCTGCTCAGATACCATCAGGAAGTCTCTCGTCTCTCTTGAGTTGCAAGTGGAGCAAGCTGACAGTAGTCAATGCACTAAAAAAGTAAGGAACAACAGTTGCTGAATATTAAACTAGCAAAGGACCATTTGGCCTGTGTCTCGAGTCACCTCAGGAAGTGACAGAGACTGTGTTTTGAGCCCTCTCTCTTTTACAAGCCCAGGCCACATCTGTCAAGCCCTGAGAATTGGTGCCATGCCAGGGTCACCTGTTCCTCTGCTGTTGGCACCACACTGCCAATGGATCGCCTGGCTGCCACTCAGTCCGATTTTCTCTTCTGGCTCTTAATAGCACTATTTACACAGCACTAAAAAAAAGCAAAAAAAAAAAAAAAACGTTTTGTGCTGAGGTGGTGAATCTGCCTACATAACAGTATTTGTGGAACAAAATGAAAAAGTCAGCAAGATCACCGAGCTACTAGAATTAAACTTTGTATTTCAGTCTCAAGCACTCAGAATCTAAATCCATCTGGTTTTCAGACAGGAAAAACTGCTGCTGCTCTCATTTTAAACAAGAAGTATATACCATACTCTGTAATACAGAGTTCGGGGTGACCTACCTCTTCCAAAGTGAGAGAGCTGCCTTTCAGCTCTCTATTCTCACCCATTTTGGCTTTAGGAAAATAGAGATGACATTTAGTGAGGGGAACACCACAGCTTCACTGAATGCAGGACTAAAATAGAACACCTGAGAAATAAAACTTGATAGTACTGCAGGATCTCCCAGTTTTAGTCATTGAACCATTTTAGCGTGATCAAAAAACATTAATGCCAGTTAGTTACAGTTCCCTCTGTCATTAAGTGTCAGGTCATTTGAGATCCAATATACTTTGGGCACTCTAAAACTCCTGATAAGAAGCCAAAAAAAGGATCATGCTGAGCCATGCCAATAGTCCATCTAGCCCATTACTTGCCTCCCAGAGCAGACATACGCAGTTACATAAAGTGGTGAGAGAACAGGGCAGACAAGCATGATGCTGCTTTCTCACCTCCAACTCACGTCAGCTCAGGTAATTGCCCAGGTCCAGATTCTTTCAGCTTTTCATCTCCTTGCCTCCTGTCTCCTCTCCAATTTTGTAAGACTTCTATACAGGAAAGGCCATGCCAAGCCTGATTCTGTGCTCTACCTGAAACCAAAATATTGTTTACATTTTAATTTAAAAAGTTAAAAAATGATTTATTTTTTTTTTCAGTTAAGGGTTTTATGTGTTTGCTCGGGTGTTTTGTTTTTTACTAGGATTAAAGAGATTTGTGAAAGGTTATTAAGAACACAGGAGAAGATTAATCTCTACTAAAGCATTGAATTTTCTTCCTCGTTGCATCTCAAATCCTTCCCTTCCGTGCACGTAATGCCTTTCAGGTTTTGAGACACCAGGCAAAGGTAGAAAGTTTACAGTACAATAGAAATTTGCCACAACAGAGCAAGCTACTTTGGGTTATAAACTCAGCATTTTTTAAATTAGATTTGCCTGTGACAAGCAGTAGTTTGGATCTGTGCATTAAGTGGTTTTTACAGCAAAACTGGATCTGCACAGACACCTACCTTCCTGTCAGCCACACAAACATGACAGAGGCAGTCTAATAACAACAGTAAGAGGTAAACACAACTTGGAAACATTAAAAGTTCGAACCACTTAGGAAGTAACCTACTCCAAAATCTTTTCAGTTTTGGAGTGGTGCCATTCTGTGCAACCTGTGGCATGTGGGGCCCACAGCTGGGTGCCCTGCTAGTGCTCCCCATCACACATCCCCTGGGCAGGGGAGCAGCATCCAGCAGACTCCCGGCGGTGCTGAGGGGCAGGTTATTTGCACCCCTTGGAAGCTCTTCCTAGATAAGGCCTCAGTGGCACTCTCTGAAAGGTCCCTTTCAAGGCTCCTTCAGCTCAGGGCACATGCATTGCTCAGCCCCGGCTAGCAGCCTTTGCTCAGATGGAGGACGCGCACAGAAACACCCCGCTAGCAGAAACTGAAATCAGCAGTTTTGTGAGGTACATACCTGCATGGTGTCGGCGTGACATGTCACACTATCTCACTAACCTGTGTCTTCATTGTATTTCGCAAGTCAGTGTCACTACGGATCTTTACCCTGAAGCAAGGGTGAGCATATGCATGAATCTGTCACAACAGATGTTACTTTTCTGTAGGGGAAACAAATTATCCATAGAGAAAATGCCTATACCATAATCTGCTTTGACACAAGGGATTTATTTTGTCCCACTCAAACACATTTGCCCATTTACATTTTAAAAATTGTGGCCTTCAAAATGTTATCACAGCACTGCAGGAATCTTTCACCTTGGCAGACAGTGAGGCTTCTCACACACTAAATGAATGGCTTAGTGGTTTTATTGTGCTAAGCCAGAGTAAGCACTTAACTCATTAATTCATCTCCACTACTTGTATTAAAGACAACCTGCTATTTTAAATGAGGCATACCTCTTTTCTCCCCTTAAACATTTGCACAGTCTCTTCTTTACCCAAACCTTGTCAGTCATAGCTAGCACAGATCTGGAAGACAGAACATTTTTTTTCAGTGCTGCCTGAATTTTCATTAATTTCTTCCCAGTTAAAGAGCTGCTGTTTGGCACAGGCTCTGAAAGGCAATTACTATGAGTACACAAAAGATTGCTATGTTGATCAAGATACCTTAGCCACACTTGTAACATTTGGAGTACGCCTTAAAGCAAACTCTTGTTTATTGAAACAAGCTACACAATTAATTTGTCAAGATACACGGATCTGCACAACTGGTTTAACCTTAGTAAATGTTTGCTAGCTCAGAATAATTCTGAATTTCTGAAGAAGTAAAGCAGACATACACAGGCCTGCTGCAGTACGCCAGTGGGGAAACTGGTGCTATTGGTCTATTTACAAACATATGCGAGCCATTGCTCTGCTCCGAACAGAACTGTAAGAATTTTCTGTTTCACCGAGAGGGGAAAAGCAGCATCGTTAATGTATGGAACGAAGTGTTGCAGACATACAAAAACAAACTTGTTTTTTCATTTTAGGACAGCGTCAAAACATGTAGACAAAGATCTTGGAAATATAGAAGAAAACAAAAAACTAGAAGAAAACAATCATAAATCTGAGACTTAAGAGACAAAATGCGTCAGTCATCATTCCAGGTAGGCTTTTCATATTGCTACGTATAACAGCTGTTTGGCCACCACTTCTCTCTAGCAATCTGTGGTTAGCAATCACGGTGGTAGCTTGGGGGCTGTCGCTTACCTTTCAGAGGCTGGGAAGTAGAGTGGTTGTTGACTGTGGTAGTACTGGGACAGACTCAAGCCCCTGGCCAGTTACGAATTCATACCTGCATAAACACACATTAAAAAAGCATAATAAGTCAGCACTTGGTTTTATTTTAATTTATGCACTTGGGGAAATAAAAATACAAATTTATATAAATATAGCACTGTGGTATATACGTATACATACCAGTGTGTGTGTTAAGAGGATGCTTAGGTACTATTTAGAAGATTCTGAGTTACAACTTCCAATGTTCACGGGAGCCTTCTTGCCCTGCTGGAAGCAGTAGTTTTTGGTAGACTTTGTTCATCATCACTGCAAGAGGCCTGAATCTTTTCTAAGAATAAAATTATTATTTTATTCAAGTTCTCACATCCTGATATGGTTATCGATATGATCTTGGAAAGAGACGCTGTATATTAAGCTAGTAACAACGCAACAGGTAAAAAAGTTTCCCTAACTGGGATCTATATAAAATAAACGGTATAAAAAACGGGTAGACACAGAGTTCTGTCAGAAGTTTCTGGGGCACTACAGAGCACCAACAGCACCACCCAGTGTTCACATTCATATACACCACTGCCGCATATATGCATGCCACAGCTGCATCTCTGCTTAGGATTCAAAGTAGGGGGTTTACGCCATTTTTTGAGTACCTGGAGTCATTGGTGGTAGCACAAGAGTGTGGAAACCAGCTAACCATATTGAGCTTTCTTCAATTAATCATCAACTGCTCTTAAAAATGGGACTAATAAAGATTCAGTGGTGCTGCCTTGGGAGTTCCTCAACAGGAAAGCCATAGAGGGTGGGTCCTGATTTCCAGTGGCTGTAAGTATATAGCATTGGATACCTTCTCTGGCTACCAGGGTTTTAAAGTATATAGCAGAGTTATCGTGTTTCTCATTTGTATAAAAAATACAGTTTGGATTATGTATAATTTCAGTATGTTATCTGAAATTTTAAAATACGAGGCAATATTTTTACACTAAATATGCAGAGCTCAGGGGGTAGAATGACACAGTATGTAAAGATGCAGCATTCCTTTGCTAGGGAGATCACTGTTCTACTAGTATGGAAGAGCAAATTCAGAATACCCAAACTAAACCTATTTGCAGTATTGAGGGGATTAGATGGAGACAAAATTACAAAGGGTATTTATTGACCATAGCAGTTCAAATAGCATCATGGACCTACAGTGCAATCTTTTATTACAATTTTATGTTTCTTCGTATCAGTAGTTCTACATAAGTGTAGAGCTTATCCAGAAATACTTTACTTTCCAGATAAACTTACCTGATTTACCAGGAACAGCGTTGCAACAAGCTGTTCTTACAATGTACTAAATTATTCTCATCATTGAATTGCAGAACAAAATACTGCTAATGTAACTTTTTATTTAGAGGTTAGATAGTGAGCAGTTATGTTGGTTAACATATTTAAGACTAAAACTGTTTAACTAGCTTTATCTTTCTTGTTTTCAGAGAATACATATAGACCAATTGAAGCATGAACGTGGATTGTATTTAAGCATATACAAAGAAGTGACAGCTATTCATGGTTCAAGTATTAAACAGATCATACTACCAAGTTTTCGGAGGATTCTAGACACAATTATCTCAAGCTAAAAACAAAACAAAACAAAAACAAAACAACTAATTTTGGCAACAGCCATGATAATAATAGGTCACCATATTGTGTTCTGTTTGAAATATTTTTTTGTAAATGTCTGCACTGAAGATTTCTTTTTGTTTGCCTTTATGTAAATTTTTTACGTAGCTATTTTTATACACTGTAAGGCTTTGTTCTGGGAGTTGCTGTTATTCTGATGTATAGTGTAATGGTTTTATTTCAATTGTTTTTATGACACCCTTTGGGCAGGTACATGTCTAATTCTGATTGTTATCAGTGAAGCCTCTGCTTTGTAGCAAGTACCTAAAGTGTAAGATTGTCTTAAAGGAAAATATCAATCTCCTTTTTCATTCTTAGAAATTGCAGTAAAGAAGAAGGGTGACAGCTGTGACAAAAATAAACTAAACTGCTAATAAAAGTGAAAATTAAAGAAAGCCAAACAAAGGTAAACAGACAGAAAGGGAATTAAATTTATATGGAAAAGGCTGGGTATTGAACAAGGAACACAATGAAAAATTCTTAGCCTATGTGCAGATGGTGGTTAGTAATTCTTTTCTTCTAGAGTAAGATGTGCATTTTATTGATACATTACCTGTTGTCTTTCATGTTAGAATTAGGATAAGGAACTGGAATTCTGGATTGATTTTGATTCCTTTACGTTATCCGCTGCCTTAAAGTACTGTACCTTTTATTCATTTCAAAAAGATATCAGTCAGAATTGGAGACTTTTTAAAAAGAATAGAAAAAAAAAAGTGGTCATATCAAAGCTGCATTTTTTTTCCACAAAAATAGAATATATATATTTTTTGTGTGTTTTTGTTAACTATGCTACAGATATTGAATGCACCTTGAGATAATTTTAGTGTTTTTAACTGGTACTTAATTTATCAAACAGTACATATAATTGTAACAATGAAATGTCTATGTATCTTTAGTTACATTCAAGTTTGTAACTTTATAAACATGTTTTATGCTTGAGGAAATTTTTAGAATGGTACTGATAAGAAAATGTTTTGGCGTAAATGGCCAATGGAAAATTTTACTGAAGGGGACAAGGTTTCACCTTTTTGGAAGGTTAGTTTCTGGAAGAAAGTAATAGGCAGCTTTGATGAAGAGGAACTGTAGAGCAAGCAGAACATCAGGTTTCCATTTACAAATATCCAGGGAAAAGTATGTTTTTATAGACTGGTAGGCAAAAAAAAATAATTAACAAAAGAAAGAGATGGACGTTAGGAAATGTATTTTGCCACTTTTGCATTATTTAGGGGGAAGAAAACACTGTTACTTGTAAATTTGTAAAATGTTACATGTCTGGGCAGTAGTGACTGATGTCTTAATAAAAGCTTCCTGTAGTGCATTGGCATGGATTAAATACATAAGATGTCCTATAAACTCTATGCTGTATAAAATAATAGAGGGAAATCCTGTTATATGACTCTAAACTCTGATTTGTTACTGTTTTATTTGGCAAAAAGAAAAAATTATAATCTTGGTCAATATCTAAACCAAAGTAAAATGGGGTAAAAAACCAAAGTAATTTGTTTTGCATGGCTAAGCCATTATGTTATCTCTGTAAATATTGTGATTTTTTTTTTTTTTAGAATTTTGTTAAAAAAATTCTAAAATTTTTAAACACCTGTTTTTCCAAAATAAAACGTGAACACACAAAAAAAGTTACTTTATATACAAATATATCTTTTTCTTTTGGTGCGAGAACACTGCCAAGTGATACACATTTTTTAAAAAAGATGCAGTGGGCATGACTCTAAACAGGAAAAGCTGTAACAGAACGCGGTGAAGAAGTATGCAAAAATCAACTCTTTGTTTATAACACTACAAATTGTTCTTAAATACAGATAAGAAACCTCCAAAGATCATCAGGGAAAGCATAGGGAAGGGTTGAAAATGTTCATACCACTGTCTTGGGAACGTGGGGGAAGAAGAGAAGAAAAAGCTGTTCGACTTCCACAGCTATGAGAAAGGAATTAAAACACCTTCTCATCTTTTGGGATTCTGCTAGATCTCCTATGCACTTTAAATTGTCAGTCCTGGGAGCCAGGTTTTCACTGTTCCACGTTCACTATAGGCACGTTTCAAGAACCAAGAGTGCAAAAAAAATTAATGTTTCTATCCATGCCTAAACAACAATAAAACCGAAGTATGTCTTCACCTGCTTGTCTGACATCTCAGTTTCAAAGTCCATGTATGAATGCGAGGGATGGCACTTACCCAGAGCTCACACTGTCATTGACTCGAACACAGCAAGTTTGTGCCTGCAGAATCTGGCTTCAGGAAGTCCCAGAAGGTCCAGGGGGTTCTGTGGGGGTGTTCGGGCCTTCTCATGCACCCAGAGAGCACAAGCACTCACTTAGAGACAAGGTTGACTATGCCATGATGCCTTATGGGCATGAGAAACCTTCCAAGTGGCCATCATGCATCTCCACTTGTGGCCTGGTTAAAAGAAAAGAAAAGAAAACAAAACCAAAACAAAAACATAAAAACAAAATACCCTCTTGCAAGGAATCGTAGGCATTCTGTTTGAAATTCTGTATGCCACGTTGGTGTTCACCTTCAGTTTACTCCACGTGGGGAGGAAAAAAAATACATCCCTCCTCTGCAATGGTTTAAAAGCATGACAACTGGAAGAAAGGCAAGCCTCTTGTTTTAAGGTTGGGAAATTAAGACGTGTCATGGTGTCGGTTCACAGCTGTGCAGGAAACTGCCACTGAGCTTGAAACAGGTTTGCCTGCATGGTGCAAAGGCAGCATCGTGCAAGAGTATCCCACAGGCTCTGCAATACATCCATTTTTTAAGTCCTCAGACACAATAATCTCAAATCTATAGCTCACGGTAATAGATAAGAGCCACAATTACAGTGCTGCTACAGAAACGTGGTGGGTAATGGAATGGCCAGAAGGCAAGGCCTTCTGGAGAAAGAGTAAGGGCTTGAACTCAACACATCAAAAGGCAAAGCATCAGGTAGATTTTTGTACCACATCTAAAGCCTACAGAACAGCTTGCTTCCTAGGATTTTAACATGCCTCCATCTACTACGCTCCTTGGGCTAGCCTTGGGCTAGCAGGTGTTCAGAGCCCTAACCAGCATTAAATTCTTACCAGATTGCTTATCAGTAAAAACAAACTGTCCGCACCCATCATCTGTATTACCTATGACGACATGCCAACAGCAAACACAAAATATGGATGGCATAGGCTGCATGTTACACCTTTTCCTGCGCAAAGAATTTTCATTATGTCATTTTTTTTGGAATACATGTACAAATCAGTAACTAAATTGTAAGTCGATTACTCAAACATTATGAGATGCCAACATATTTTATCCACATTGGTGGCAGCCATAGAGACCGACAACGAATAAATGTAAATTTGTTGGATTTTGTCTGTTTTTTAAGATCAATGTCTTCTCAGAACATCCAGTATTCACCTAATATCCTTGGCTGCTGCAGTTAAATCTGATTTACTCGTACTACCACATGTAGCTGGTAGCTGGATACTTTCCTGTTGACTTCATGTTTAGACAGCCATATGTACGCAATTATCTCAGCTAAGATTATCAGTGACATACGAAATGAGATCCTGACCTCCTGTGTCAACCACATCTGTGCAAACGTTTCCTGGGTTTTCTTTTGATGAAAAAGCATCTCCACCCAGGTAGCTGTTTCCAAGAACTGCCTGGTGCA